TATTTCTAGATCTTTCAAAGATACATAAAGTAGAAGTGTGTTTTGTTATAAATCTAGTTATCCCTATTACTTTGAATGAGTATCATTAGAAATGTGCTTTAGTGTTAAATAATTTGCCTCTGGTGGAAATCACAAGGAGTGCTCACTGGCTACACAGAAGAATCATTCACTTTATAGAATTATTCAGCGCAGAACTTCTTAGTGTGAACACATCCTATCACCATTCTTCTAACCATTTAAGTAACTGGTCAGTGTCTGTGTTCCTCACTACACTGTGAACTCTGGGGGATGGGCTCAGTTTTTCCTTTTTCACTATACAGTGGCTAGTGTCTGGCACAGCTCCTCACACACAAGTTCTCAGTCTGGAATTAAATAAATACAAGTTGAATGGATAAATACATCTATAGTGTGATTAATTTTGTGCGCATTTTATTTTAGGTTTTTAAAATGTTTGTATTTTAAAACAAGAGCATTTGTAGGTGCTTACTAAGACCCACAGGCTGAATCTACCCACATTACTTATTACATAATGTAATATAATTATCACTATACAACAGCAAAGTTAAGTAGTTGCAAAAAAACTGTATAGGCCAACCCTATGTACAATCTGATCCACTACAGAAGTTTGCCTACTCCTGTCTATAAGCTTCCCTATTAATAGTTCTATAAATTTAGGCATTGTTCTGAACATTTGGAATAAATTAACTCATTTTATCTCACAACCCTGAGAGGAAGTTTCTTTATTATTATTTCTATTTACAGATGAACTAATGAACCACAGAAAAATTAAAGTGATTTACCCTGAATCACAAAACTAAGAAATGTGAATGTTGGGTTGGACATGGCTGTAGATCTGTAGTAGCATGCTTGCCTGGACCTCACTACAGCACTGAGAAAAGAAAGGTAGATGAGAGAAAGGCGGAAAGGGGCCAGGGATGTGGCTTAGTGGCACAGTGTCTGTCTGGCAAGCAAAAGGCCCTGAGTTCAATTCATGGTACAGAAAAAAAGAGAGAAAATAAAACAGAAAAAGAAGGACAAAAGAAACATATGTGGCAAAGTGAATTTAGATTTATTTTTTATTTTATTTATTTATTTGTGGAACCGGGGATCAATCTCAGGCCCTTGTGCTTTCCAGGGCAGCACTTATCCCACTGAGCCATCTTCCCGGCCCCTGAATTTAGATTTAGATCTTGATTTTTTTTTTTTTTTTTTTTTTGTGGCATTGTATACTGAACCCAGGGCCTTTGTACTGAACTACATTCACAGCCCCTTTTTATTTTTTATTTTGAGATAGGGTCTCTCTAAGTTGCTAAATTACCTAGCCTTGGCTTGAACTTGCAATTCTGTAGCCTCAGCTGCCCCAAGTGTTTGGATTTCAGGCATAAGCCACCACACTGGCCTCTGTCCATCTTGATTTTATAGCCAGAATATATACCTATCATAGTCTTCATTTTTGTTTTATATTTCCCGCTTTCTAAATGTGAAAGCAAATTATTGATAAATATCTGAAATCCTTCCAGTACAAAGGATGCCTTTTCTTGCAGAGAGAAACAGGCTGTTCATTGTAATGGAGTACTGTGAAGGAGGGGACCTCATGAGAAGGATCCACAGGCAGAGAGGAGTGTTATTTGGTGAAGATCAGGTAAAAACTTAATTTGCTTTTTAATTTGTACATGTGTTACTACATTTAGAGTGTCATAAATACTAGACCATTTTTGTATGCAGCATAGTTTCTGGTAGAAAAATTCAACCCAAAACCTAGTGGGATGATACTCTTGGTAGACTTAGTCTAGAACGTGTTTGTTGTTGAGTTGAAATTGAGACTCTTCCCACTCCCTCCCTTCCTCTCTCCCTGCCCTTCCTTTGCTCCCAGATTGTGTGTAATGGGGAATGAATCCAGGGCCACACACATGCTGGCATGTGTTGGAGCACTGAGCTACATCCCCAACCCTTTTTTACTTTGAGATGGGACCTTGATAAATTGGCTATGTAGGCCTCAAGCTACTGATCCTCCTGTCTCAACCCCCTGAGTGGCTGGGATTAAGGCAAGTGTCTCTAGGCCTCTGAAGTAAATCTTCATGTTACAAAATAATCTGAATGTGTATGTTCTTTAGCTATTTTAAATGTAACATATTTAGAACTACACAAGTTTTTGTTTTAACTTTTTTTTAGTACCAGAAATTGAACTCAGGACTGCATGCTTGCCAGGCAGGCACTGTGTTATGGAGCTGTATCCTGGCTCTATTTTACCATTTTTATCCCATTATAAAACAGCTTGTAACTTAGCCAATGAGAATAGCTGATCTAATTAATAATGCTTATTGAATTTTACTGGTTATTTTTGTTATTATTTGTGGTACTTGGAGTGGAACTCAAGGCCCTGGGCATACTAGGCAAGCACTGTGCACCCAGCCTGTTCTATCAGTGAAGAATAACAGCCTCAGCCCCCGTTTTCTCTTCCCACAAACTCATTCCCCTCTATACTCCAAGCCTCCTGTGCACCCCTTGGGGAGCTGTGCCCATGAAGGACACAGTGTGTGTGTGTGTGTGTGTGTGTGCTTTTGGCCCTTTGTTTCTTTGTTCTGTGTTAGCTTAAAAACATACCCGTGTAATTTCCTCCTAGAGCTGAAGTTATATGAGTATAACCACAGCCATAGGGAGGCTGAGGCAGCAGGATCACCATGAGTTCAAGGCCAGCCTGAACTGCATAACAAGACCTTGCTGTCTTAAAAATCCAAACCCCAAAAAAACAAATCTGAAGCAACACAAGTTCAATATTTTGAATGTGTGAATGATCAAGGAATCAATAAATCTGTAACACTGATGAAGAATTCTTCCTAAACTTGGGCTGGGGAGATGGCTCAGTGGAATAAGCACTTCCCTGGCAAGCTCAAGGGCCTGAGTGCAATCCCAGTTTCCACCAAAAACAAACAAACAAACAAACAAAGAAAACCTCTTCCTAAACTCATGTATTATATATTCAAACCCATATTTTCAGAAACCCTCCTTACTTTTTGCCTAGGTATTATTTTGCTACATTTTATAAAAATGCTTTTCTTGATTTTTTTTTCCTTTTTTTGAGACAGGGTCTTTGTAGTCAGACTGGCCTTGAAATCACTTACATAGCCTAGACTGTTCTTGAACTCTCAGTAATCCTCCTGCCTCAACCTCCTGAGTGTTGGAATTATAGGCATGTGCCACCATGACTGGCTGATTTTTTATTTTGTAATTATTAAAATATTTATTAGTATATATTTGCAGCACATAATTACATTCATTATGAGGAGTTGGTACATGTACATATTGGGAGAAAGAAGGAAAAAAAACAAAATAGGAACTCACTGGTCAGGACAGATCTATTTCAGAACAGGGGCCACACTGGCACTTAGAGCAGACCTGTTACCCTGACAGGCTGTGAGATCTTTTACAGGATTGTGGTCTGTGAGAGGAAGTGGTCGATGTGGGGCCTTGGAGATGGAGGGTTGAGTGCAAAGGAGTGGTGGCCCCCTGCCAGGGACAAACTGGAAAAGGCTCAGAGAGTGATGGTTGCCTTCCAGTGGCAGGGCTGAAGGAAGAGGCATTGTGGGTGCAGCTGTGGACCCTAAGCCTCATTAACTCATGGTTCTGTGTACATCACAAGCATGTCCAGCACAGCAGACAGAAGGGGCTTAAAGGGGCCTCCAGCCCACCTAGGAGGGTGGTGGTCAGGCTCCTTCACATACTTCTTAATTATTTTTGCTTCCCTTTCCCTCCCCTCCTTGCTCCCTCCCTCTGTCTTGGTTTCCTTCTTACAGTTTCTTTTGCTTGCAGGTTGTCTTAGATACTTTTCTCACTGAGTCAAAATATTCAACACCCACAAGTTAAGGGGGAAAGGTTTATTTCACCTCACAGTTTGTAGAGATTTCAATCCATAGTTGGCTGACTCCAAGGCAGGGTAGCATGGCAGATGGACACCCCAGAGAAAAACAGTCCATGGCACTTCAGGCAGCAGCAGCAGCAGCAGCAATAGCAGCAGCACTGCAGCTGCCACAGCTGCCATCCCTGCCTCCACTGCCTGGCTTTCTGTCCTTTACATTCAACCCAATGTGTAATTGGTATAGCGCACCCAGAGAGGACTTCCACTGTCCACACCCTTAATCCCAGTATCACCTGCTTAATCTATTTTCACAACCCTCATCCAGCTACCTTCAAAATGCCCCACTACTGAGCACATGAGGCTTTGGGGTGCACCTGGATATAAACCTTAACACAGACTTTATTTTCTACATTGTTCTCCAATTGTACACAGTATAATTGGTGTACTAAAGTACGTGATTGAATAACTATGAGGAAGAAAACCACAGGAACAAATATATAGTGCAACTTAATATATAT